CAAGGTAACCCCCCCAAGTATTCAAGGATAAATAAGACAACATAGAAACAAAAGGGGGCTGGAGACCTGGCAAAAAAATAAAAAAAGATGGGAAGGCACCTCACAAAGAACTACCTACGAGAATCCAGAAGACAGAAAATAGGACTACTGGTGGTCTCCAGCCCAAACTAAAATAACAAGACCCAGCAGTCTTGATGTGCTTGGGGTAAAAATGGGAACAAAAGTTTCTCACCATCGCTGACCTGAGTGTGTGCGCCAGAGAGCTCTCCTACCTGGCTCCTCTAAATACACCTGGAAGGAAATCAGAGTGAAACATCTTTTTCTTTCTGTTGATCAGGGGATTCATGAATTGCCAAAATGTTTCAGCCCCATCTTTGTTTTCCTGCCATGTCATGATTTTACATTTCCTCCTCTGCCATGTTGGTCACAGGTCCCCACTTCATCGAGTATTTGGGTTACGACGTGACGCCAGAGTGCTGCGTTGTGCTGAAATGCAAGGTGAGACAGAACTTTGTAGACGTTTTAAAATGTGCACTCTTGAAGGAAATTGCAGCAGAGTTAAATTAAATCCCTTAATCTCCTGTGCTGCACGTCAGGTGGGCAACATGAAGAAGGACACCTCGGCGCTGTGGTACAAAGACGGCCGTGAGATCAAAGCTGACGAGAACCTGGGCTTCACTGAGGAGTGCTCAAACTGGAAATAGCTCAGGTGAGAGCATGAGAGGTCAAACTTGTGTAAATTGTGAATGTTTGTATAAATATAAATGTATATTTATGTGCTGTATAATTGTCATTTAATTCATTTGCATATATGAATGTAAACGCAGAACTCCTAGCACACAAATATTTGGATCATTGACGAAGAGTTAAGTAAGTTGTTAAAACATTATTTTAATTTATTTTAGTCATAAAATCTTAAAGGTCACATATTCTCTTCCTTTCTAACCAGTGTAAATAAGTCTCAGAACTCCTTAAAAACATGTGTGGGAAGTTTCTTGTTTTAAATCCACTCTGATGCTGTATTTGATCATGTCTATAAACACTTCTGTTTCAGCCCTGCTCAGAACAGGCTGTTTCTGTGTCCGTACCTTTAAATGTAAATAAGCTGTGTCTGACCACGCCCCCTCTCTGGAAGGGCTTGGGTGGCTCTGGCTTTCTCGCTCCATGTCCTATTGTTTATGGTGAGAAGGCAGACTCAGAGGGCAGAACAAACACCTAGCTGTGGGAGTGTCACCCACCGGGGGGAGGGGTTACTGCCCTTTGTGATGTCATGAAGGGAACATCTCCAAACGGCCTGTTTGAGCACACATTTTCTGAAAAGTGGAGCAGGCAAAAGACGGAGAGGATGGACTTTTCCTATCATTGGGGGGTTTGTAGACAGACTAGAGACACATGTTAGTGTTAGAGAAACATGGTGAAGTGTATTTTGGACAATATGTGACCTTTAAGGGATTTTGTAATCAGCATTACCTGTCTCAACTCATCATACATAAAATACGATATTAAAATGTATTTATCACGTTCTTCCTCTAACTGTCTTCTTCTTCTCTGTTTTCGTTCTTCATCACATCATACTTCATCCCCATCACACTGTGTCGTCTCTAAACGTCTGTCCGCGTGGCGTTCAGTGATATGGCGTCCCTTCAGCCTCTCTAACGTGTATAAACTTCATGTCACATGTGTCCCATTTCAGTGCGACTTCCCCGCAGACACAGAAGACTATGTCGGCAGCCTGATCTGGAGAAGACTAAATGTTGGGATCAGTTTTCTGTTTTCATCTTGGGCCTACGCCCTCCTCATGGTTTTGTTGTTCTGCCTACGAATGCTCTCTGTTTGTTTGTTTGTTTGTCTGTCTGCTTTTTTGCTTTTGTGTCATATATGTGTGATCTGCAGCACCTATAGCAGAAGAGAAAAGCTTGCCTTTTCAGATGAATTCAAATAATATTCCTTGTTCAGTGTCACATGTTGAAGCTCCGTCTGACGTTCCTGCTCTCTCTCGCGGTCAGATTTCTAAGAAGGACTCCGGTGTGTACGAGGTCGTTCTGAAGGACGACAGAGGGAAAGACACGTCCACTTTGAATTTGACTGATCAAGGTGATGTTGTAGAGTCAGCAGTAGAGAAAAAGAATCACCTCTTGAATGAAAGATAACACTGAGCGTAACTGTTCTCTTATTGTCCTCTAGGTTTCAAAGAGTTGATGAATGAAGTTTTCAGTTTTATCGGTAAGAAGCGGAACATTTTGTATCCAAACTGTTTGGTCCCCTCGTTCATATTCATCTAAAATAAATATTTGAATGTTTTTTTTTCATCAAAGCCAATTCCTCCACTCCGCTGAAGATCACAAGCACAGATCAAGGGATCCGACTTTACACCTTCGTCAGCTACTACAATGATTTACTGCAAGTAACATGGCACTACAAGTACGTTCCCTCTCTTGTTATTTAAACCAGCCGCTTCACATCTGTTTCTTTAATTGGGGAAGGTTCTCAGTTTGTTTGTCTTCATGGTGAACTTGTGCCATAGCCTGATTTTATGAGTGTACTACAGTTTTCCTTGAATGTTTCGTCAGCCTGCAGTCTTGTTTCTGTGTCACTGAGCTGCCTTCATTGTCTCTCTGTCAGGGATTCAGCCATCGCCTTCTCCGACCGTATAAAGAGTGGAGTGGTGGGGGAGCAGCTGTGGCTGCAGATCTCAGAGCCCACAGAGAAAGACATGGGCAAATACGCCATCGAGTTCAATGATGGAAAAGGTGGCCTGAGGAGGACCGTTGAGCTGTCTGGACAAGGTAAGTGCAGGAACTCTTTCTTCTTGTTGTTTTGCATTCGGTGCATTGTACAAAGGCAGAAACTCCCTTTATGATTAAACTCTGAGACTCTTAAAATCTTCTTTTGTTTCGCAGCATTCGACGATGCTTTTGCAGAATTCCAGAGACTCAAGTGAGTCACACAGAACAGCTTTATGTGGCCATGATCACAGCGTGCATAAAAACACATTTTGTGAAATTAAACCTGAAGTTACTCTGATTTGAGAAACAAACACATGAAGACGTGTGCATGCACATTAAGTCTTAACTTTCCCCCCTGATTCTGGGAACCTTTGACCTGATTTGTTGTTTCCTCTTCCTCCTTTTCTTCCTCTTTAGAGCTGCTGCTATTGCAGAAAGAAGTAAGTGATGTTGTTTTTTTTATATGCGAGCTTTCAGGCCTGGATAAGGCAGATATTCATTCTTAAAGATGACATTATATACTATATCTTTTATTATACTTTTTTATAATGGAGTTTAAAACGGCCTGTTTGAGGCAAAAGACGGAGAGGATGGACTCTCATCATTGGGGGTTTGTAGACAGACTAGAGACACATATTAGTGTTAGAGAAACATTGTAAAATGTATCAACACTGATTAAGTTTCCAGCAAGAAATGATCCAGCATATTTATAAATATTGACATTTATTTATTGTTCCAAGTTTCATCTTCACTTTTTAGTCTTTACTTTCTCGTCTCAGGTCGAGTCCCCCCCCAAATCGTCCATCATATCCTTTGATGCTTTTTTTCTGTTTGGTGCCTTCACACTATTTTCGCTCGTTTTATGATAATTCATATCGTTTGTTTCAGGTCGTGCTCGAGTAGCAGGAGGCCTGCCTGATGTGGTTACTATTCAGGATGGCAAGGTAAACGGTGTCAGCTGATTCTAATGTTACACGGCATGCACTAAAGTCAGCATAATGACAGATACAGTAGTTACTAAACCTCAATCTGCTCTAGATTAGGATTTTCTATGCATTCTTATTTTATTGGTTTGCATTTTTCCCCCTTGCAGGCCCTCAATCTCACCTGTAACATTTCTGGCGACCCCATGCCAGAGGTCACCTGGCTGAAGAACGACAGAGAGATCACGTCCGATGATCACATCATCCTTAAGTTTGCGTCCGGCAAGTTTGCAAGTTTCACCATCACTGCCGTGAACACGTCAGACTCTGGCAAGTACAGCATCCTGGTGAAGAACAAGTACGGCACAGAGAGCGGGGACTTCACCGTAAGTGTCTTCATCTCCGAGGAGGCAGGCGGCAAGAAAAAGTAAAAAAAAAGCCGAGGTCCAAATCTTGTCGTAAATATGTATAAATGAAAAACGCAAGGGAAAAAAAAAAACGGCTTGAGGAATGTGTTGGATGTTTTGTTTAGAATATTAAATTAACTCTTGAGGTGCTGAGTCTGAAACGAGACGTCCCACGGTGCAGGAAGAAAAAACAAGAGTGTGGTTGAGAGTCAAACTATCCAAAATATGTAGGTACTCACTTAAATCCAATGATAACACATCGAAACACATGTAAAAGGTTATTGTAGTTTTTGTTATTGCTAGTTTCTTGGTTTAATTAGCAGTGATTATTATCCTGCAATACAATGAGATTTTCTCATGAGAAAGGATAAAAGTCATTATAAAATGTCAGTCTGTATGTTTTCACCTTTAATGGAAAGAAAAGGCTTTAAAGATGAAGACAGGTTGGCAAAAGAAGCCTGAAGATATCCATTCACCTAATCCGAGGAAGAGCAGGAAAAGAGCCGACAACAAAACCCTGATGGCATGAGAGGAAATAGTTCAGATCTTCCTTTGATTGTTGTGATGGTGACGTCACTTCCCTTGCCTCCCTGTCTGTACTGAACACTGTTGTCCCCTCTGTCTTTACTGTGATTGTTATACACCCTCTCTAAAGTCCTTTATTAATTATTGTGATGCCTGTCCAATCTGTGAATTTGTTGTTGACTATGTCACTGTCATGAAGAACTGCTACAGAACACAGTTTTTGTTATTGCATCACTTCCTGGTCCCCTGTTTTGTTGATGAGACTAATAAAAAAAAAAGCATGTACCTCCCCACTTCCTCCTCCGCCTCTTCCTCTTTGAGTTGTCTCACTTTGGTTTGAACCTTCCACTCTTCACTGTTCACTCTCTGGTTTCAGTCACCTTGTTCACTACCAGTCGTGTGGTATTGGATGAACCACCAGCATGGACACAACCCCTCTCTGTACTGTCACCAAACACTCTCCCTTTAAGAGCACAAACACAGAGCAAAGACTTCAGCTTCCCCTGAATGTAAATGTTAGAAAACTAACCAGTGTTTCCCCCTGTTGTCAGTCACAAGCGTCAACCATCATGTTTTTCTGTCATAAAAAATTACGGTCTTTTTCCACAACAAATCCCACTCCAATTTCTGATTTAGCTCCACATGTTTCCTTGCAGTTAGAATTCATGAAAGTTTCCAGAAATTCATGTTGAAGATTCCTGACAGTTTCTGAAAACTCCATAGATTTTTCAGACACGCCCCAGAGAAAGTTTCACATGTTGATCCCCAAATGTTTCTGAAAATGCCCATAGGTTCATGAACATTGTCTATGAGAATACCCGAATGTTCATGACAATTCCCAGTGCAATGTTCCAAATGTTCAGAAAATTGTTGATGAAAATTTCTGGTGAAATTTCTGATTTTTTTTTAGTTAAAATTCCCGTGAAATTTTCCAAATATTCCCAAAAAAAGACTTTCAGAAAATTGCATCCTAATTGCTGTGAAAATTCCCATTGCGATGTTCCAAATGTTCGGAAAATTCCTGATGAAAATGACCAAAGTTTCCCAAAGTTCATAATGAAAATTCCTGAAAATATTTGCAAGAAAGTTTCTGAAAACTGCCTCACAAAACTCCCGAGAGTTGCAGAAAATTTCAGACAAACCTATTTCTGAAATGAATCCTGGATATTTTTGGATGAACATTTCTAATTTCCTTGAATAGAAGTAAATCAAAAATATCCACACAAAAATATCTGAGGCACTGAAAAAATAGGTTAAAATATATACAGTATAATACAGTAGATGAACACTGATGAGGACAGACTGGATTTATAATAAAAGTGTTTCTGGATTTTGGCAATCATTGGTGTTTCTGACCTCACTGCACCTTCTCGGTAAGTAGTGAACATCATTCATTGGATGGTGTGGTAGTCACTAGGAAAGGGTTTTCTTACATGGTGACATCTAATTCTGGTGTTTGTCCTCTTAGCTGGAGATCATCGAGGGAACACCTGACTTGGGGGTGACTTCTTATATGACTGATGCAGAAGGGAATGTGGTGTTTGGCCAGAATACCCCGAAGGAAAAGATGAAAACCCCGGGCACTGGAACCAAAATGCAGAAGCGAAAGGGTAAGCGGGTGCAAACAAAATTCATAGACACATTCATTTTTTTTTTGCTTTCTTGAACATTGCAGTCACATGTCGTTCATTTATTTATTGTCTCGCAGAATCTGTGACAAAAATCCTTCCAATGGAAGACGTCACAGCCAGCGGGGAGCCTGACGTGCAGAAAGACGAGGAGGTTGCAGTGGTCGCTTCAGAAGAAGCCAAAGCTACAGATTCAGAGCAAACAGGAGACGCAGAAGAAGTCGCTGACCAGCGTTTGGCAGCTGACCAATCAGATGCCCCTGAGCAGCCTGAAGCCACGGTGGAGGAGCCTGAACCCGGAGCTGAAACAGCCTGAAAACACTGAAACTATTGTTGAAAAGTTTTATGTACACACATATCTTTGACAAGCTTGGTGTGGAGTTTTATGTCTGATTGCTGTGTTTCCAGTTACATTACCTTAGCGTGCATTGTACTCCTTCATGTTAACGATATGCCCCTTTTTTGTCTAATATGTATCTGATGGGACATCGTTTTATTGTCATGTACACAACACTTCACAGAACAATTATTTAATGTTGTTTTCCTGCATTCTTCTTACTTTGCTATTTTCATTATTACTGCCTTTGAGTAAATATGGGACATACACAACAGCAAATAAATGGACTTGGAATTGAGCTTGTTCAGTTCTTTTCTAGTCTTCTGACTACTCAAAACACTTTTACACTGCAGGTCACACCTACACATTCACACACTGATGGTAGAGGCTGCCGTGTGAAGTATCCACCAGAAGTGACTAATCCCATTCATACACATTCATACGCTGCAGATGAAGCAACGGGAGCAATTCGAGGTTAAGTGTCTTGCCCAAGGACACATCGGACTGCAGGAGCTGGGGTCCGATTCCCTGACCTTCCTGCTGAAAGACAAGTGACTCTACGACCGATGCTACTGACTGAACGTTATATAACACTTAATATGCTTTTCACTGACACTTATTAGGGACTTCACAATAAGCTAAAGCCAGTTCACCAACAGAGATCACAAAAACCTAACTCTACTGGAAAAAACAAAGAAGGAAAAACTATAAAAATAATAATAATAATGGTATGAACTGACAGCAGCAGACTCTCTAGGAAATCCTAGCATACAAATTCACTATAGCCTTATATAGCTTATGTTTAAATCAGAACTGAACTTTCGACTTCCTCTACTAGCGGATGGTACATGCTGCATGTTTCTGCATACATTTATTCATGAGACAGAAGAGCACTGCTTTGTTTTTGGCTGAGGATCCAGGACCATTTATTGCCAAATATCCGCCCTGCAAAACTGTCCTGGAGCAGATCCTTCAAACATCCCAAAACCGAATTAAGATCTCTGACCTCAAAATGCAGAGCATGGAAAATTAATCTCCATTTATTTCCTGCACTTCATTTCAGTTTTGAAAACAAAACGGTAAATGTTCTGCATCCAGCACAGGCTTTATAAGGCTTTATTTGCTGATTCTCTTGTTGTTTTTGCTGTTTTAAAATCTCAATCTGCAAAGTTACAAGTCTGCAGGAGTTTGAATGCACTTGTTTTTAGTATTTTATATGGTGACTTTGAAACATAAATCTTCTTTCTGTGTCATTAAATTATTCAGCTAGCGTTGCCATTATCCTGTGACATAAAGTAGAAATGATTTGTGAGGTTAGAAGGGATATTTCAGGCCACCCCTTAAGTCAATGCCCCGGTTAGGCCACCAGAGTCCATAAAGTCTGGACACGCCCCTGCCTCATCCATCAACAACCAACAAGAGGACATAGCTTTTACATTCCCTGTGACTCAAGAATGTTTTTCTCAAGAACAAAACAAGTGCAATAACTTGCTCAAAAAAAACATTTCATATGCAGAAAGGGAATAAATGCCTATTCCAGCTAAAAACAGAGGACACAGCCGACCTAATGCTGTACCTTTTAATGGGGCGTTCACATTTAGTAGATGCTCTACATCAGATCAGACCTACATGGTGCCTGAGAAACTAATCTGCTCCGTAAAAACCCATCATTACCTGTAATAAATGAACTACCTCATCAAACGTCCTCCTGAGCTGTAATCACGTGCCAACTCGGCGCTGCCGGGTCACGTGCTCTAGCCGGCTTCAGCTCAGTCACAGCAGAGAGAGAGAGAGAGAGAGAGAGAGAGAGAGAGAGAGAGAGAGGACTCAACTAAAGTACCGGCAGAGGAAGTGAATGAAGGTGCGACTGCCTGCGGGCGAGTCTTTCTACTCCATCAGGTAGGAGGATTTTAATCGCTCTTCTCCTCTGTATCTTCGTTTATGAGATTTGAATCATCAGATAAGACAAAATAAATATGAAAGCAGTTCATTGTTGCTTCTATGTGTTGTAAAAAAAAAAAAAAAAAGCCGGCAGCGGTGTCCTTAAAATCATCTGAGGGGTGGATTGTAGCGGGTTGTGAGTCCTATGCTGAAGCGTTATAACATAAATAATGATTTTGACTTCAGTATCCTGCGTTCATGTTGGTACTGTCAATAAAAGCCATAAAACCGAGTCACTAAACGAGGCGTTTGCCGTTTACCCGGTTTTTATGGCGAAATGATATAACCTACATTGAGCCTACCTGAAGACGTCAGAGACTCGCGTGCAGATTTCACTTCAATAATAATAATAATAATAACTTTATTTATATAGCACCTTTTAAAAACACAGGTATACAAAGTGCTTATCATCTGACTTTGTTTCACAGCAGCCTACATGAGGTCATTATGAGGTCTATCCAGTGGCGATTCTGGAGTCTGTTTGGGCCCGAGGCAGAGATTCACAGGGGCCCCTCCAAAAAGTGTTCATCCCCATTACGTTACAAATAAGCAACAAAATAATTTAGCTACAGCTATAGCTATAATTCTACAGCAACAAAATAATTTAGCTACAGCTATAGCTATAATTCTGCAGCAACAAAATAATTTAGCGGACGTCTCTCCCCCATATTTAGGGCTAGACAAGAAGCATTCAGTCAATTATTATATGAGTGAGAGCTGTCAGATGGGTTCTGCTTATAGGGAGGTTTCCTACTGTCACTGCAAAATGTGCACATTTTGAGCCCCTGCTGTGGTTTAAAGATTATCAGCCCCTTGGGCCCCCCTACTGGCCTAGCAGTTGCCTGCCTTGCCTGTTGACAAGCAGCACCTCTGGGTCTATCAGTGCAGACCAGCTGTCTCTCAAATTTTGTGAAACCAGCTGTGATATTTACTGTTATTGAAGGCATTGTAACACCGGAGTGCATGGTGCTATGTGTGGTTGAATAACAAGTGAATGTTGACATTTTTCCCAGAGACCATATCATCCAGTAATACAAAGGTTCAGGCACCAAAACATTTCAAACTTGAGTTGACAAATACATCAATACATCAATCATAAAGTAGCTTGCTGTGCTTCTCATTGTCTGGTTCTAGCACTTGCCCGATTTTTCATGATCAGTCTTAAATAAAAGACTGTAACAAATGTGTGATAAAGCCCTCTATCAATATGGAGTCAGCTGAGTCCTTGACGCTGTTGCTGTGTTTGATTACTCAGGAAATGGTTCCTGATAACACGAACCTGCAGACTCAGTGTCACAACAACTGTAGTTAAAACAACGTACCCTTATTTAGACTCACGTTGGACGCTGTGGTGTGAGCGGTACAAACGTGCAGGGGCAGTGAAAGCTAGATTTGTACTAATCCTGTTAGCAGGATTAACACCTTCTTAAGGTCCACTCAGAGTGTCCTCGATGGTTACGCTGGATTTGTTTTGATGCACTGGGGCGATTTTGTTATGCAGCACCAAATAGGTCAACTAAGAAAAACAAAAAGGACTTCTATACCTTAATCTTCACACTTGTCTTCATCCACAGATACCGCTATATGTTATTGACCTAATGGGAAGGTTAGAGGTTTAAACTATCATGTCGTGACAGTTTGGTTCCTGTGAATGAAAGTGAAGCTTTGTTGTTTGTTGACGTTGGAAACAGTAGTTCGGCAACGGTCTTAAATCTAGATCCACTTCCTCCCTGGTCTTTGTCAGCTGGAGATTGCTTTGTTGCCTTCACACTATAGGCTAGCTGAGGCAGTTTAGAATTAGATGAATATTAGCCAGTCATTTTTGCATTAAAATAACAACACATTAGCTGATAATGAGACGATAACTGATAGAAAACTGGTTTCAGAGCCTAGTGTTTTATAGGCAAGCCATTTGAATATGTAGACATCTTTCTATTTTGTTGACATACTACTCAAAAATCCATCATGAGATCCATCCGTGGAATTTGCAAATTTGAACTGGTTAGGAACGTCTCAGCTCATTATTTACATTTAGTTGGTATCATCAACAGTTGCAGAACCTCTTGACCTCTTGACCCAGTTGCAAAAAAACCTACAAATCAGAGAATGAGACATGTAAACATGGTGGTTCTTGGCTAGGTACCTAATTTCCCAAATCGAATTATCATGGCTTTTAGTTGGTACCAAATACCACCGGCATTATATTATTTAGGAGGCAAACTGAAATGTTCATACATATGGTGAAAAACAGGGGGACACTGTTTTCTGGAAATCTTCCTGAAGGAAAGACGGGCCAGGACAAATAAAAAAAAAAACAAGAGGTCTCAGATGAATCTGGTTCTCATGCTTAAACCTCTTGATCATGTATGTTTAAAATTGGAACAGTTGGTCTGATGATAAAGGTAATAATCATGTCACATCACATTTATTTATAAAGCAGCAGGGGACCAACCTGCAGCCTAATGCATTAAAGAAAGAACATACAGGAGCTTATAACAATTATACAGAAACAACAACATAGAAAGTAAAAAAAAAAGAAAACCAGATAGAGACTGTCCAATCAGGACCAGAGGACTCTAACATGTAAAAATACGTTTTGGGGTGGGTATGGGGGCAGACGTGATAGGGAAGGCTGTTTTGGGGCTTTGACTGAAAAGGCACGATCCCCTTTGAGCTTGAGCCGTGAGCGAGGGACCGCCAGGAGGCCCATGTGGGACGATCTAAGTGGGCCTAGATGAACGGGCTAAGGAGGCCAAACAGTGCAACCTTAACTACATTCTGGAGCGTACTGGGAGCCGGTGAAGGGATGATAGGACAGAACTGATATGGACGATAGATCCAGATAAATGAGCGGACTTTCAATACAAGCCCCACACAGAGTATGTAATGGTCCTTCATGTTAACAACACCGCTATCCATGTTGGAAAGATCTGTTCTACATTTCAAGCCTGCACAAAAAAAAGCAGATGATCGTAATACTAAATTTGGTGCGCTGTGTAGTTCAGACAGTGTGTAGTTCAGACAGTGTGTAGATCAGACAGTGTGTAGATCAGACAGTGTGTAGTTCAGACAGTGTGTAGATCAGACAGTGTGTAGTTCAGACAGTGTGTAGTTCAGACAGTGTGTAGTTCAGACAGTGTGTCGATCAGACAGTGTGTAGATCAGACAGTGTGTAGATCAGACAGTGTGTAGTTCAGACAGTGTGTAGTTCAGACAGTGTGTAGTACAGACAGTGTGTAGATCAGACAGTGTGTAGTACAGACAGTGTGTAGATCAGACAGTGTGTAGTTCAGACAGTGTGTAGTTCAGACAGTGTGTAGTTCAGA